CAAAAATAACTTCACAGCACAATTAACAGACCCCTTTTTCAAAACTGCAGGTAGATATATATATATATAGATAGACATACATTATATAATAATAATATATCTATGCAACCTCGTTCCCATGGCCTTTTCTTTCAGGAAAAGGCCAACATAAATCTTGTCATCTTTGTTTTCTCCTTTGAAATTTATCGAGCTTATTAACTATTCCCCTTTATTACCTGTGGTGGATGATAAGAACCCTAAATTTACATCCGTTGGCAATTAAAAACTAAACCACTAAAAGCCACGCTCGTTTACACAGCAAGGTTCAATTTTGATTATTCTGAGTCATGATTTATGCAATCATTCTTTGAAATGGGAGAATATTTCTTAGCAATGAGACAGTACGGCAAAACATGTCTAACACTACAGCATATCCGATTGGTCAATTTCATCAGGCTAAAGAAAAGCCCCAAAACTTCATTGCTGGAGACGTTTTCAACGAGGAAGCTTCTTGGTTTTCCCTCGCCTTCTAATCATGGATATAAAGACCTTGCTAAACACTATTCATAAACAAGTATCCTGTTCTGTGTGCAAGACCACATTCACAGATCCAAAACAGCTGCCATGTTTACACAGTTTTTGTCTTCACTGCTTGAACGGGATTCTACGAACGAGTGGCCGCCATGATGTCATAGCTTGTCCAGAATGTAGAAGAAAGAGTCAAGTCCCCAGTAGTGGAAATCTAAATGATCTGCCAACCGACTTTCGAATCAACAGTTTGCTGGATGTGTTGGCAATTAAACAGTGCAGTACAACAGGAGTCAGATGCGGAAATTGCGACCAAATAAGTTTTCAAAGTTGTTATTGTTTCCACTGTTCTCNCAACAGTTTGCTGGATGTGTTGGCAATTAAACAGTGCAGTACAACAGGAGTCAGATGCGGAAATTGCGACCAAATAAGTTCTCAGAGTTGTTATTGTTTCCAGTGTTCTCTCTTCTGGTGTGACGTCTGTGTTAACGCGCACAACATAATGCGAGCTAACAAAGAACACCGTATGTTGGCGCTTACCGACTTTAAAGACGAAGACTTTGAGAACTTTTTGAAGCGTCCAGCATCTTGCCAAAAGGAAAATCACGGGAAAGATGAGCTGAAGTACTTTTGCAAGACTTGTAAAACTCCAATATGCAACACTTGTGCCTTGACAGATCACGAAGGCCACGTCAAGATACCTCTGGAAGAAGCTGCAAATGAAAGCAAGTTACAAGTGAAATCTGTGATTGAGTCGAAAAAGGAAAACGTCCAACAGCAGAAAATTAAAATTACCAACATTGAGCAAACCTGTATTCAAGTGCAAGAGCAAGCCGCTGCCGTGAAGAGAAACGCACAGACCTTTGGTGAAGCGTTGATCTGTGTCATCGAGGCGAAGATGAAGGAAATCTATGATGAAGTAGATAATAGAACAGCAGAACTACTCCAGATTCTTGCAACAAAAAAGAGGGAGATTGAACATGAAATGGAAATGACGGAGATAGTAATTGAACAAAGTGAAACACTTTTAGAACGAAGCAGAAGTGCTAAGATTGTACATTTGGACAAGTCATTACATGAAATCTTCCTGCAAGGAGTCAGGCGTGAAGTGGAAAACGTAGACTGTGAGCTTGAAGATTTTCATCGTCGATTCAATTTCGTGGAAAACGAAACATTAATAGATCTGGCAAACACTGAAGGAATCGGCTCATTACAAACATTGACAAGCGGGCGTCAAGCAAAAGCTAAAGAAAAAATATTGATCAGGAAGCGCTTTTGGGGGTGGCAGCGAATGATGAAACTGCAGTGACTTAGATTGGTGCAATAGAATTCGAGTATTTAATAGTGATGGGACTTACTTAAGAACGTGTGGTGGAAAGGGTGATAAAATGGCGAATTTAACTTTTCTTCTGGGATAGGCTTTGACACGCCGAGTTGGAGAAATCAATTAGGAAATAAAAAACATGTACCGTGTTTCTATCGAGTTATAGAAACACGACTGGAAGTTTGGGAGAACGAGAAATGCTGTGGGAACACGAGCCGTAGGCGAGTGTTTCCGCGACTATTTCGAGTTCTCCCAAACTTTCACGGGTGTCTCTATAACTCGATAGAAACACGGAGAACATGTTTTCTATTTCTTTTAGAAAACACCGCGACGAAAAAAAG